TCCTTTGTTTGCTTATTGTAATGTCATTTTGCAAAGAAAACAATAGAAAGGGCTTTTGACTGTTGAATTTTTTTTTAAAAACAACTTTTCGTTTTTATACGGCAAGAAAGAGAAATCTCCAGAAAATCAGAGGCCTGTTGTGTGTGCTCTATAGGAGGTCTTTTACTTCTGCAAGTGAAGGGAGAAGAACTTAATCAACATGAGGTGTTTGGCTTCGCGGCCTAGTGATCAACTTCAAACTGAGCAAGCAATTCTTGCCTTCACTGAAGCGTAAAATGTGCAAAAACCTTTACCTTTAGTTGCAAACAGGAAAATGTAAGTAAGGGAGTTGACACATTGCTTATCTCAGCGAACGTTAGCATTTACAACAAGAGAATTTTAATTCGCTGCTTCTTCTCCTTCTTCTCAGCAGATATTAGGAATGTGGGGCCGCGCTAGCTCAGTCGATAAGAGGCTGGCTTTCAAATCCAGCTGCGACTCGCTGCAGCCCACGGTCGAAACCGGGTGGCTCCCGGGGTTCACCCGGTCACCCAGGCTCTAGGAAATGGGTACCGGAGTTGACACTCTGTTGTAAAGGGAAGAACGTCGCTGTAGCTACAGAGTTACGTGCGAACGTCGACACAAGTGGACAATTCTTATCAGCTGTCCGTTCTAGTGGCAGAGCACTTATGGTTTGTAACCGTGTGCAATGACGCTGGTTCACATCTCCCGACTTTACTTTTACTTTAGATATTGGGAATAAGAATAGAAAGAATTATGGGGGGGGGGGGGGGGGGGGGGGGGTGGAGGAGGAATAATAGAAGATGATGACGAGGAAGAAGAAGACACTGTCAACTCAAATAAAAACTAACAAATCTGCAGGTATCAAGGAAGTAGCAAGCTAAAAAAAAAATGAATCTTGAGTGAATCACCAGCAGAAACGTGAGGCTACCTTCAAGACGAAATTCAGCTGTGTCCACATTTAGCTTGCAAATACCTGGCCACAGTTAAGACCTGACTGTTTGTCATTGTGTAAATGTGTGCAAGTTCTCCTCTAGTTCTTGCTCTACAGGAGTGTTGCATTAGAATCTGATAGGTGGGCTTCATTTACACCCACAGCTTTACATTTAAGTGTCACCGAATCAAAACTAAAACCAAATACACCAGATTTCAGGCAGAAATTAAAACTCGGGAAGACAAAGATAGGGTTTAGAGGCAAATAAACTGTAACTGCACCCAAGTTGTAACACGATCTCGATTTAACAAATGGACACTGGCACAAACAAAACATTTGGTGGGCTCAGCCATACCGCCCCCAACCCAGTCTACCTTACACATTTTTCTAAGCAAAAATAATGAGTTTCTCATGGGATATACTCCTAGTTTAAGAGGATAATAATAAATGTCAAATGGCAGAAGCAATATAATAATATTCTTGAAATAACATTAAATGTATAAATAATTACTTTTAAAGATAATCTCCTCAGTCCGCCTACAAAATTACTGGGCGGGGTGGGGGGGGGGGGGGTCAAGCCCTTCCCCCTCAATTTGTAAGCTTCCCAGAAAAGTGTCCGTTTAGGTTTAAAGGGGTTTCTGAGATTTGCTCCTTATGGATTCACATCAGCATCGCAGTTCTTTGAGTCACTAAACCCCTGTGGACTATCATAATTCGTTATCCGCTTCTGGACTTCAGTCTTGTTTCAGTACTTGAGTTTTGTGTGCACATCCGTTTTACAGAACTGGCTTATCTATATGCAATCTGTTGTTTCCTCATCTCTCAGACAGATGCACTTTTATTAAGCAGAAAACACTCCTAACTGGTCGACGTTTACGACATCCTTGTAAGGGGCGCAATGACTTTTCCCCTCCCGTAATGCGACCCGTGAACCCACACGGGGAAAACTGATTCTAAAGCAGCCTGTCACACAGCAGGAGCCGTGGTGCAGGAATGTGCCTTAAAGGGTTTTCCTGAATATCTGGTATGAGTATGCAAATAGTTGCCTCCATCTGAAAAATACACATATAAAATACATAGGTTTTAAAATAAAATAGTATGGGGTTTCCTGTTGACACAGCTAAAAAACGAAATAGGGGGCTGGCGCTATTTATTTAGCAAACTGGACGGTGTGTGGTAAATGGTCCTTCTTGTGTTTTAATTAAAAACAAAAAATATTGTTTTTCAATATGCATTTAAACAAAAATGACAATATGGGTGCCACAAGAGTAGTAAGTCTCACTAAACCGTAGAAGAAGGTTGGAGGTGGGGTGGGGGGGGGGGAGGGAACGAATAAATTAAACTTATGAAACTCTAAGGAAAGGCTTCATGCAGAGGCAGATTTTCGTATAGTGACAATTAAATTTAAAAAAAAAAAAAAAAAAAGTGCGACGAAGCAAGGAAGCTTATGTTCCTGTCACGTTTTAGTTTATGGTTGACCCAGTTTAGAACATTGTCTTTTCTTAAACGTTTGCAGATGTTTAAAGGCTAAAAGGTTGACTTCCTCACCAGCCATTTTATTTCATACGATTCGGTGCAAAGCGCCGTTCACACATGGGAAGTGTTGCACAAAGCACGAAACCTCTAACTCCAGCGACAACCTACAGACATCTCGGAAGTACTCCCACTAGCAAATGGGAGGATGGACCTAGAAACTGAACCCAGAACATTCAGAGGGCGAGGTAAACTGCGCAGCTACTTCACCACGGAGAACACACATCATCAGTGCCATTACTGCTATTGTTTCATTTTTATTTTATTATATGTAAAATGCTGCAATACAATCATTTTAGAGTCAGTTCATTTTAGTGTTTCTTTTCTCGTTGTTATTCTACTGATGAAGTCTCATCGCCGCAAAGTCTTTTGGTTTTATTTATTGTAATTAGTTGTATACAGCTGACTCATGCTTTATGTTTTTCCTATTCTTTCCGTCAGTGTCAGTTGGACACTAACACAGAAAAACAAGAGCAGAAAGATAATAGAATTGAAATGCCGAAGGCCGTGTGTTGTTCCAATGTCTATACGGGTGGGCGAAAAAGAAAAAAAAAAAGATTAGATTACTTAGTAAATAACTTATTGTTTCCACCATATTCTCAGTTTATGTGCCACTATTTTACGGTCCACTAAAGGCATCCATTGCAGTCATCATTCTGCCCTACAATAGCAGCTGAAGCAATACTGCATACTTGTATGGAAATATCAATTATTTACTAGGTAGGGTTAAACTTTTAGCCATCACTGTAGGCGACGACCTTGCATCTAAATATATTTGCTTCTTCAGCAAGGCGCTGCCGTCGTTTGGAGGCACCAGGTTGGAATGCTTATGTGGTCACTGCAGCTTCCGTGTTCTATAGTTTCTAGGAATTCCAGAGAAATTTGACTAAAAAGCTCAACAAAATGGGGAAGCAGAAAAACGTGCGCAAAACAACACAAATAACGCATGTGTTTGACAAAGGTTGCCCGGCCGAAACGTTACATTATTTGTGTTGTTTTGTGCACGTTTTTCTGCTTCCCTATTTTGTTAAGCTTTTTAATCAAATTTCTCTGGAATTCTTTGGATTAGCTTGACTGCAGTCACCCCCATATTTTCTATAGAACCTAGCGTGTACTCGACACTGTATCTGGTCCAGCAAACTGAAAGTGGTTTATTTAGTGCTTGTAGAAAAACGACGAGACGTGGAATGTTAACGTACTATTTAGGCACGATGGTATCAGAAGGAGAGCCAGCACATAACGAATATTAAACTTTATCGGTAGACAAAAACGGTTTGGCCAAGTAACAAGCTTGGCATCAGACAGGGTACCACAGAGAGCAATGTTATACAGATACAGCTGTAGCACAGCAAGAGATCGACCACGTAGAGTAAGGACCGTACAAATATCGGAGACACAGAAAAGTCCTACAAACGAAGGGAACAGAAGGGTCAGTTCCAAAGATCTCTTCCCGCCCTAACACTGGGACCTGTTCCATGAGTAGAGGAAAGAAGGATGAATAAGAAAAAGCGTGTGTTCTCCAATCTCTATTTGTGTTATGTACTTATGTAAGTGCCAATCAATACGTGTGAACATATTTCTATTGTTATTTCAAGGATTTCTAAAAAAATTTTTTTTTTTAATTACACTGACACCCGCAGGGTAAAAAAAACAACAACAGGAACATAAATGAAATTTTAGAGTAAAAATTAAAGCATAGCAATGCAAACCATTTCAGTGCTAAGACAAGCCAAACAGATACCATTGCGATGGTCTTGGGGATATAACGAACAGTCTACCAGAACCATATTCTGTAATCTATGGTCAGCGGCATACATTTCCTGAAGGTCCCGCGAAACTCTCTGTTTCATGACGTAGCGGCTATAGTTAAAGCCCATCCCCAACAACCCTCACCAGGGACTGTACTGCTCCGAGTTTTGGTGCAATTAACATTTCTTAGCTAACACAACTGGCATAAAGAAACCAGACCACAATTATAACCGATACTGCTCACGGTAGGTTAAACGTGGTCGATATTTGTGTTTTGTTTGACATAAATGGGGGAATGGATGTAGTGGAAACCGAATATCAAATCGACTATTTGTTACTGCATTTCCACGTCTCTCAGAAACAACACACTAGCCATACACATACGATTCCTGACCTCAAAAGCAGTAAATGTCACATTTGAACCAAATATTTTAATTCCCCCCCCCTCTCCCCCTGGTACTCACGTATCAAATGGCTGAAGGACACAATCAGAGGATTCACAACCAAGTTAACACCAATAAATCAACCGGTTTGTCCACTCCGGGATGCCACCTAAGGGGTAACCATACCATCATGAGACTGAACATCTTAATCTAGAAGACAGACCAACGAGGCAGATTCCAGATACCCCGTTCAGTCTCGTAAGAAGTTATAATAACGAGCACCCGTTATGACTACATCAGCCAGGTGTAACTGACAGTACTATGTAGGTATGGACCATCATCATCATACAGGATAAATAGGCAGACGACAAGCACAAGATGATGGATTACAATGTACTTACATTCTGTATTGTTGTCTGGGTAACATTCTCGAAACATCCCCCGGTCTCTGGACACATAATAGCGTCCAGTTGGGTATTTCTTGATAGAATCCTTCTCTTTGGCGGGAATCTTGGCATAGTTGACCCTAAACTCCAGCCAGTGATCAGTCCCGAAGGAAACTGACATAAAAATCAACGTTATTGGTCCCAAGATGGTGGCAATAACAATCAGAGCCACAGCGCAGGCGCTCATTCTTGCTGAGGATAACAAATATACAAAATACTTATCATTTCATTGTGGAAGATATCATTTCAAGATTAGAATAAGAATTGTCATAGCCAAAGTAGCGTTTTGCAAACTTGGATTATGTGCTTCAGATATGGGTATTGAGTTCTTGATAATTAATTTCCGCCAAGAGTGGCTTTCATGGGCTACATGAGAGCGACGTTCGGTAATAAACCTGCTACATGATGATGATGACAGACTAGTTGACACTCTACCGGTGGCGCGGTCAGTACGCGACTCGAAGGGGATGGGGTATACACGAGATAGTTAATGGTACGACACTGCACATATTGATAACGTAAAAGACCCCTTTTCACCTCTTCAGGCTTACATGCAAATATAAAGCTAGACTTATATTTTAAAGACTATTGTGCACTTGGTGAGTGATGTGGGCAAAATAACTCCTACCGCCTTTACTTCCTAGGACTTTACCTGTTAGTCATTTAAGACTTTGAAGCCACAGTTATTTTTGGGCTCTGTATATCAGGACTTTAACACACGACGGTCGGATCCACAGGCCAGTGTCTAGCCGCTCCACTACCGCGACTCCATAACATATTGACAACATTTATATAGTACTACTTACACGACAAACGAACAGAAGCCCTTCTAAGCATTATCGTATCCTTCACGGTCTTATCTTCCCGAAGTATAAACTTAAGCACACTCGCAACCTTCTCTAGTCAGTGACAATGGAGCCTTGTGTAGTAGATAAGGTCTGGATACCTCAGTACCTATAGGTGGCTCTGCTACAGAACTACTAGCTGCTCGGCTATGTCAGCTTGCGGCCAATGTAAATGTATACGTGAATCAACGGAACAAACCTTTGTTGACTTTGTAGGCGAAGCTGAATTTGACGATTTGCAATAGTCAACCCAATCACGTAGACGGGGAAAGGTGAGTGGTTAGAGGGGGAGTGGAGAGCAAGGCATTTAATGACACAAGAAGAATGGCAAACGTTGAGGAAACCATGAAACTGTCATAGTCATCACTGATATATCGTGGTAAATGGCGCTGGCGATCATGTTCACCCACAACATCTACTCTGTGTGCCTACAATAAAGTACCATACGATTATTTAATGCAATTACTGCTTAAACTAGAAGTTAATCCTATTCTGATCCGCTGGATTGCTGCGGTCCTGTTCCAGAGAAAGATTGTACTAAGATGTGGTAGCTGGTCCTCCGAACCGCAAATGATATGTCCAGGCTTGCCACAGGGATCACCGCTATCACCAGTCTTATTCAACGTTTACACGGTGATGATCACTGAGCAGCAGTTGAATGGAAAGGGAAGGACTTTGTCATTTGCTGATGACATTTTGATTTATCGACGAGGGCGTGATAGACAGGAGATCGCCAGCACTATGCACAAAGAACTCGATCGAATTGCCGCCTGGTGTGATGGTTCCAATGCCTATGTCAATCCTTCGAAGGCATCAGTGTCATGGTTCTCTTTGAACAATCACATTGTCAAGTCGGACTTACCAGAAGTGAAAATGCGTGATAATGCATTGATCAGAACCAACGTTATGACGTTTCTCGGGTGAGGTTCGATCGCAGCTTGTCATTCAGGGAACACGTTGACCATGTGATAACAAAAGCACGCAAAGGTCTATCTGCAATGAGGATTATGGCTGCTTCCAATATTGAGCAAAGACTACTAATACTTCTATTCTACGGTCTGGTCCTTTCCCCCATAGAATACGCTCTGGCCATCCTCACTGTCAGTGCTACCCAGATTGAACGACTCGAAAAGGTGCAAAATGAAGCCATGCGCATTATTTTGGGATGTACAAGAGACACATCCTGTGGAGCAATGAGGTATCTACTTGACTTTCCAACAATGAACCAAAGGATCAGGATGTGGAGGGCTCGGGCATATCTCAAAATATGCGCTGATAAGAAAACACCCACTGCATCAAGCGCTTTTTTAGTGAAAAGGGCGACAGACTGAAGAGGGGGAAATCGTGGCTAGGTCGGGCAGAAGATGTCATTAGGCAAATATGCAGCCTAACCGACATCATACCTGGTGCAGAATGGATACCTGTGCCTCAGGCGTTTATTTGTACATTTTCCTGTATTGTCACACTCAACAGGCGATGTAGAGAAGAGAATCCTGTTGCTGTTAATGCAGAGGTCAACGCTCTCATCGGTGAAAATTCAGACGAAGCAGATGCAATAATCTATACAGACGGATCCGTTATACGCCAAAGAAGAAGCGCATGGGCATTTACAGCACGCTCAGCGGGCAGAACAGTCAAAGAAGCCAACGGCGCCTTCTCCATGACAACCAGCAGCATGACGATGGAGGTGATGGCAGTGACACAAGCGCTTGCCTGGCTTGAAACACAAAAATACACCCGCGTGTGTATACTCAGTGATTCAATGAGTATGATCCGGAGGGTTCAGGCAGGTTCAGTGCGAAGACAATGGCTTGAATCATTACAGAAGTCCACTGTTCGTGGTGTCACCTTAATTTTTGTTCCGGGACACGCAGGCGTCGATGGAAATGAAAGAGCTGACAGGTTGGCTGGATCCGCTATCCCTACCGACGGTCAGCCTATGGATCATGCTGATATTATCAATGCCCTCAGAGAAATGGGAAGAATAGAGGACTTTGGTGGCAGTGAATCCACATCACTCGCCAGAATGGCAGACTTGGGAATTAAGATCGGCACAGCAAAAAACGAGACGCACACCAGCTACGCCAGAAGACTTGTTAATCAACATAGAACTGGTACTATTAGCCATCGGACGTTGGGGTTCATACTGAGGGGAGGATCTGAGCACCTATGGACATGTCCGGAGTGCAATGAGGATAACCCAACTAACTAACTAACTAACTAACTAACTAACTAACTAACTATCTACTCTGTGTGCTTATCATAGGTGGAACACTGCATTCAGTACAGTTTTAAAAGTTGTTCAGAATTTTCTTCCTTTCTCGAATCCCTATAAATGATACGATCCTCCCCGGTTGTCGCAGCTTTGTCTAGTACATCATGCAGTTCATAGATATTCCTCTTATTAATCTTTCATACGATTGTTGAAATTCTGTATAGACAGCACATCTGTACGACCTGCACGTTTTCTAGACAGGCAGCACATCTCTGCGACCTGAACTGTTTTCTAGATACAGGCAGCATATCTCTGCGACCTGCACTGTTTTCTAGAGACAGGCAGCATATCACTGCGACCTGCACTGTTTTCTAATATCTCTGCAATCTGCACTGTTTTTTAGAGACAGGCAGCATATCTCTGCGACCTGCACTGTTTTCTAGAGACACTGTTTTCTAGAGACAGACAGCATATCTCTGCGATCTGCACTGTTTTTTTAGAGACAGGCAGCATATCTCTCCGACCTGCACTGTTTTCTAGAGACAGGCAGCATATCTCTGCGACCTGCACTGTTTTTCTTCTTTAAGAAATGTAATGTCTATGATGTAAAGACATGTAGGTACATACTAAAAGTACAGCAATGAACCATTTCCCGCCAGTAGCGCATCGAGCAAATAGCGCCAGATCCACAATTTAAAAAAAACCAACCGGCCTATGATGGATGATGTGGTCAACTTCACGCCGGTCGCCTTTACTGCACAAGACATTTCCTTATATCTACCTTAGATCTAGGCCAGTCTATGCCAGTTATGAAAAAAATATCCATCTCGATGCGAACTCAACCCAAAACCTCCAGGCCGGGCATTGGTTAGTATAAGTAATAGATCCAAATAAACAATTACGCAAATCAGGTAATCGCAGTTCATTTCGGGATTAAACAGATCTTTAACAGTGAAATTTGGGGAATTGCAAATATTAATGCTTAACAGAGGCGAAGATTTGTTATGGGTCTATCTCAGAGTGTTGCGCTATTGTTACAAATTGAGGGTTAATTATTTTCATAATGTTCAAATCCACAGTAAACAGGATAGTTAACATTTGTTGCTAGAATAAACAGAAAAGAAAGCTCAGGCTAGTGGTGGAGAACTCCCTCATCTTTCCTCTCAGCCACTGGGACAGCAGGGTACACCAGCACAGTACACAGGATAGTTAACATTTGTTGCTAGAATAAACAGAAAAGAAAGCTCAGGCTAGTGGTGGAGAACTCGCTCATCTGTCCTCTCAGCCAGCCACTGGGACAACAGGGTACACCAGCACAGTACTCAGTGTAGAGGTTACTGTTGCCCTAATTATTACTATTTAGGAGGTTGAATGCGATACCTTGGATTAGCCATCTTGGACGAAATGATTCGACTCATTGGGCCGAAAAGAAGTAGCAGACGAAGAGAACGAAGAACAAGAAAAGGCGAATGAGGAAGAGCAGCAGCAGCCGCATCAGAATCAGCAGCAGCAGAAGAAGAAAAAGAAGAAGAAGAAGAAAAAGAAGAAGAAGAAGAAAAAGAAGAAGAAAAAGAAGAAGAAGAAGAAGAAAGAGGAGGAGGTTTTGTAAGGTTGAAGCAGAAACGAGTACAACCATGTATCACTGTGAATTGCAAGCTTCAAAAGCGAAACATGGGTCCCTTTTCTTGCTACAGCCAAGAGTTAGAAGGAGAAAAAACACACAGGGCAGCAAAGTAATAGAGACACCGTTCATCAAACTAAGCAAATAGTCGGTGTCCAGGCAAGCAGATCCCGAAAGGTTGTTCAAATAGAAGCCGGCTTTGAGCTAACCCTTGTTGGAAATCCTGGGCGCCGTTGGATGTTTTTTGTGATATTCCTTCTTCTGTCTCTTTTTCTGCTCATTACCCTTCTTTTAATTCTTTGTTTATTTTTTCTCCTCTCGCTGTCGTCAGCACACCTTCTGTACATTGTCATTGTTAGCGATACTCACACTATCCACATCGATTCTTCTTCTTCTTCTTCGTCTTCTTCTTCTTCTTCCTCCTCTTCTTCTTCTTCTTCTTTTTCTTCTTCTGCTAGATCTTCAGCTTCACCGATACTTGGAAGTCTTTGCAAGAAGTTAAACAA